TTTTCACCTAGAGGTCTACCTTTACTATGTGCTTTACAACTTTCCCACCGAAGAGAGGCGCGGGTTTGAACTCTGCACTCCAGCAGAATTATCAACTGCCGTGGTGGAATGGAAGAATGCGTTCCAGCGCAATTATCCAAGGTTTACACGAGACGATGGAATTAAAAATCGGGAGTCAACCATTTTTTTTCTGGGAAACGGAACGCCCCTTCAAGATATTGTCCATCGAGATACCCTTGAAGCTATGAGTGGCGATTCTTTGGAAGAGAAATGGCGGCAGCCATCAATGTTTACAAAAGAACTGAGATTGCATACAGGTACTTTGATGCCCGATGGAGCACAAGTTAAGTTGACTATAACCGATAAAAAAGGCAAAAGAAACGATATGTTGATTCCCACATCTCTTAAAGAAATTAACATACAAAATTCACGCAAAAGGGTCAACTTCTTTGTTGGGTTTAGTTTTTCAGGGCCCAAAGCATTTGGAATGTTTTAGAAGTATTCGCGATGGTTGTAGCCTATTAATACCCTAAAGCTTCTCAATAACAGAAAATCGGAAATACAAGCTTAGATCAGTAAAAAGATACTATACGATTTATACACATTTCAAAAACGTCATATTATATGCTGGGATGTGTGGTGAAGTGCTTCGATGAGCGGTGAGGTGCTACGATGTGCGGCGAGGTGCTCCGATGTGTGGCGAGGTGGTTCGATGTGTGGCGAGGTGGTTCGATGTGTGGCGAGGTGGTTCGATGTGTGGCGAGGTGGTTCGATGTGTGGCGAGGTGCTTCAATGTGTAGCGAGGCACTTCGATGTGTGGCGAGGCGCTTCGAGGTGTGGCGAGGTACTCCGATGTGTGGCGAGGTGCTTCAATGTGTAGCGAGACACTTCGATGTGTGGCGAGGCGCTTCGAGGTGTGGCGAGGTACTCCGATGTGTGGCGAGGTGCTTCGATGTGTGGTGAGGTGCTTCGATGTGTGGCGAGGTGCTTCGATGTCTGGCGAGGTGCTTCGATGTGTGGCGAGGAGCTTCGATGTGTGACGAGGATGCTTCGATGTCTGGCGAGGTGCTTCGATGTGTGGCGAGGAGCTTCGATGTGTGACGAGGAGCTTTGATGTGTGGCGAGGTGCTTCGATGTGTGGCGAGGTGCTTCGATGTGTTTCGAGGTGCTTCGATGTGTGGCGATGTGCTTGGATGTGCGGCGAGGCACTTCGATGTGTGGCGAGGTGCTTCGATGTGTTTCGAGGTGCTTCGATGTGTGGGGAGGTGCTTGGATGTGTGGCGAGTGGTTAATGCAGGTGGCATTTTCCGAGTTACTTTCTGGTGTGGCTAGTGGTTTAAACAAGTGAAATGTTCCTCTTGATGTGTCCATTGGTTGACAAATGTCATATGAGCCAAGTGTGACATTTTCCTATAGATGTGATGACATGTTTACAAGTGTGACATTTTTTTCTAAACCGTGACAACTAGTTCACACAGGTTCAATGTGCCATTTTTTAATTATTAAAAAAAAACTGTAATATATTTTAATAATTTGTATCATTAATCATTATTAACAATTCTCTTTGTATGTATGTATGGATGTACCGCTTTGTTAAATAGTTGCCCACAATAAATTCCCAGAATTTAGCACTAAATAGAATTCTTAAAAGTGCATTACTTAAATGCACGTTTCGTCAAGTAGCTCTAGTAGATTGGAAGTTCACGCATTGCGACGGTATTGTTTCGCGGGTAATTCCTAGGCGAATAATAGAATAGCAGTAGCTGTTGATAGGTCAGATTTTTTGCAGCAAGATCATTTTAAAATTCTTTGAACTGTGACCTGAAGATACGAGTTGAGATGTTTCAAAGCCTAGCACAGTTGTCCTGCACCTGGTCGTCGCAAGGCATTCGCCAAGACTCACAGCTGTAACTAAGGCGACTCTGGACACATTCACGCTTTGTCGGTTTCTATTATATGTATTTAGTCATAATTTTTCATCATTTAATTTCATGTTGTTTGAGAAGTATGATTCAAGCGAATGTTTGACTTATTATAATGTTCGTTGTTTGTCAGTTCGTCATTATATACGTTCATTTTGTATATGAAATTTTCCTCAACTTGTCTGCGTCCTCGCTTAGTTGTTTAAAATCGACCTTTAAAAAAATTTAGCCAATGACGTCATTAAGTCTATAAAAAAAAAATTTGGGAGAATCCCCCTCCCACACAAAAACACATGACGTCATGGCAGCCGAATTGTTTGCTTACTCCAGTGTTTCCAAATTTATTTATTTTTTTTTTTTATTTTTTTTGTGCCATGCACCATCTCAGCATTTCTAAAATTCGTATACCCCCCTGTGTAACATACACACAGTTTTTAATATTCAAAATTTGAATTCTTTTCAACACTTCAAAAGCTTATTCTATTTTGAGTCACTAACGTTTCTCCCTTTCAAGTACGAGTTAAATCGCAGTAGACTGTGCGTTATCAAATTCTAGAGTTCTTTTCTTTCTCTTTTTCCACATTGCCACTCCCATTAACAATCCAATTGCCCTTCTGTGGGGGGCCGGGGGGGGGGACCCACGTTGGGAAGCCCTGACTTACACGGTATGTCAATACAAGGGGAGTAAATTCGTTAGTAGAACAAGTTAGCGGCATTTTTCTCCATTATGTTATTTCCCCCATACCTTTAGACGCCCCAATCCTTACGCCCTTTTCATCCCCACATGGCCTCCATTCAGGCGCCCTCCCAGAAAGAGAACTGCGTCCAGACGCTCTACGTGATAATCGTCCACACGTGATCGATTAACACGCCCATCACCAAAAACGCCCGCATGCCCTACGTGCTCCACTCAAACGCCCACCACACAAAATCCCTACATCTTCACACCAATCCACACGCTTGCCGTCTATCCAAACGCCCCATCCACATGCCCTTCTTCCCCACACCCTCCATTCCAACACCCTCCATCCATACGCCCTTCATCCATTCGCCCTCCATCAACGTTTCCTTTTTCTATTCGCCCTCTATCCATACACCCTAAATCCAGGCAGCCCCCATCATTATTTACTCCTTTCACATGCCATCCATCCATCTATCCATCCATCCATCCATCCATCCATCCATCCATCCATCCATCCATCCATCCATCCATCCATCCATCCATCCATCCATCCATCCATCCATCCATCCATCCATCCATCCATCCATCCATCCATCCATCCATCCATCCATCCATCCATCCATCCATCCATCCATCCATCCATCCATCCATCCATCCATCCATCCATCCATCCATCCATCCATACGCCTTTCACACACAAGCCTTCCAAAGTCTAACTTTCGCGCCATTGAATTGACAGGCGTTTGCTGGTGTTACTATTAATAGTGACGGCGTAGACCTGAACACGTCACTTCCTCTGCTCTGTTTCAAGGACAAGTCTGCCGGTAACACTGATTAATCATCTGCCATTGTCTCGTAATTGCAAAGGCGGATTCAGGGGTGGGTTGCAAGAATATAGTTCTCTTTGTTTATGCTATCCACCTTAAAACCATGACGTGTTGTCTGTGTGTATCATTTATTCCACCTCCTAACACAGTGAATCTCATCTTGTGGATCGTGACAGGGGTCGCCTGAGACCATCGGGAAAAAACAAAACCTGTTATTTATGAAGTGCAACGAAAATAATTTTATGGTTGGGGGGTCACCACAACATGGCGAACTGTACAAAGGGTCGCGACGCTAGGAGGGTTGAGAACCACTGTCCTAACTCTAAGATCAGAGTGGCGCCGTCAACTTTCTTGTCACAAAAATCGGGATAAACTTTTAAATATATTTTTTTTTGTTTTCTTTCGGTTGTGAAGGTTTTAATATGAGTCTCTTGTAAGCAAAACATTCATTTTGGAATGAATATTATTGACATTTAATTTCCAGGTTCTAGAGTAGTGCCACTACTCAGAGGAGGAGTCTGCGGACAACCCTCCACCCCACCCCACCCAACTTTTTTTCCCCTTCTTCAGATATCGGTCCAAAGAATTTAGAAAGAAAATGTCTCAAAATTAATTTCAATCATTTTTCTTTTGTTCAGTCCAAGTGAATTTCTTGATGGGCGCTGTTCTACTGTGCATTCTTCGCCTTTGTGGGTGTGTGTGTGTGTGCTTAAAGTGAGATCTATATAGAAGATTACCAATAACAATTGAATTCTTTGATTTGAAATTTTCTTTTTTAGTAAGTATTCTATTTGTTTGCAAAAGTAGGTCATCGAAAAAGGTAGAAATGCATTTCCGTTTTCAGTAGCACGTGAAATAAATTTCCCAAACCGCACCAAACAGCGTGGAAATTGTATGCACGATAAACTTATTCCTTTTTTTTTTTTCCTAATCGGGTTTCTTAAAAACAGTGATGGCAAGCTTTTCTTTTTACTGAAATCGCACCAAATTGAAATGCGACTAAATAATTATGTTTACGTACATGTACATGTCATTAACACTAATAGGGATTCTTACACACAAACTGGGAACCCAAGGGTGGAAAAAGAAAATCATTCGTTAGGTCTTGGTGGAAGGAGGTAGTGAGGCAGGGCAACGCCCTACACGTGCTGCCGCGCCACAGGGGGTGGTGGATGGAGGGATTCTTGTAAAGTGTGTGTTTTGTCAGGTAGTGTTAGTCGTTGGAGAGTACATGCATTGACCCCGCCATTGATGGGGGGCTATTGCTAGTTTTCAATAAATGTATTTTAAAAAATTACATTTTAACTAAATCTTGAGTGTCTTCTCCGTAACATTCTGAATAGTCAATTTTTTAAAAGTGCATATGAATAGAAAACTTCAATTGCTTTAGTTTAAAAAGTTTTTAAAAGTCGCAATGCGAACCAACTGATGAACAGTTGTGCAGTGGGGGAAAAAAGGGGGGGGGGGTGTGCGCATTAAATATATAAAGAAACAGTATATTTGCTTGTACATAGGGAGAGAAAGAATGAGAATGAGTGAGTGACACACAAGGAAAGGAAATGAGACTAGCAAAAACATAAAGATAGAGTAAGATGATACTATTTCCAGCTGTTCACAAACTGTGAGGGCACGCAAAAATTATTTTTCTCTGCACAAGTTCATTTACGTGACAAAATATTTTAAGATCTTACTGTAAATTAGTTGTGTTGTAATAAGAATAATGTACTGTTGTATTCAAATGAAAGCGTGTTGGGCTGCAATAAAGCTGTATAGACACAAACAATGAGTGTATAGAAAATGTATGTTTATGATGATTTTACAAGGTATAAATGCAAACGTTTAGGCAAATGCATTTATCAGTATAGGAAGTCTACACTTTTATTTTGAGGGAAGAATAATGTGCATACAATTATATGCTTTTTAAAAATTTTAAATGAAAAAAACCTAGCACAGTCTGCTGCATGAAAAAGATGTAGGCCAACACGAGCTGTTAATCTCGAAGTCCTGCTGGGGTTGGAACGGCACTAGCAGCACTGACACTGTAAGCCCTGAAACTAATAGCACCGGCACTGATAGGCCTCCTTGGACAACGGGCAGTCGGATTTGACTTTGACGCATCTTCCACCCTTCTTCTTCAAGTCTTCCTTGCAGCGTTTCTCACAAGACTTCCACACTACACCAGTCAGCCAGCTGCTCCACCTGGATGGTGTGAGGAAATTTAAATGGTCAATGTTGAAAATAATATGACGAGATTTAAGATGTTTCGAAGCCGTACAGTTGCACAGTTTATGTCACATATGTTTTTGAACACGACACTTATGAGTTTTGCTAACGGGACTAAGTGGAGGAATATCTCAGAAAGGCATGGTGAAGTTAGGGACTTTTTGTTTGGCGGGAATATGTTTTTGCACGAGAAGGAAGTGAAATGTAATTGAAGACAAGAGCAGGCATCGTGAAAGAGCTGGACGTATATTTTACTTTTTAACGAATCAATGTCTAAGAAGTGATTAATGCATATATTTTGGAGACGCCTATGATGTGACGTTGCTGTATATTATCGTTATTGTTAAAAGGATTATTACAGCGTGAATAAAGTTCTTAGTGTGTCAAGTTGGACTTGAGATTTCATTTTGTTATAGAAGTGGCAGTGGTAGGTGTTCTAGTATATACATTTAGCCACATATCACCACTTTGTGCCCCCACATACAACCACCTATCATCACTGTGTGCCCCCACACACAGCCACCTATCATCACTTTGTGCCCCCACACACAGCCACCTATCATCACTGTGTGCCCCCACACACAGCCGCCTATCATAACTTTGTGCCACCACACACAGCCACCTATCATCTCTGTGTGTCCCCCACACACAGCCACCTATCATCACTATGTGCTCCACACACAGCCACCTATCATCACTATGTGCCCCCACACACAGCCACTTATCATCACTGTGTGCCCCCACATACAACCACCTATCATCACTGTGTGCCCCCACACACAGCCACCTATCATCACTTTGTGCCCCCACACACAGCCACCTATCATCACTGTGTGCCCCCACACCCAGCCACCTATTAATATTATGTGGGGCCCCCATCACACACACACACACACATCGTGAAACGGTACAGTTTAGTTAGAAGGTGTTAATAAAAAGTGTGTACCAAAATCTTATTATGAATGACGTGATGTTAGAAAGGAGACGACCCATTCCAATGTCCAGCACCATTAATTTCATTGCTTTTTAAAAAAATGCATCTAGATTTACATTCAACTCCAATCCTCGATTAACCTAGAACCATTATGTCATGAAAATATTTCTAAAAACTGAAAACATTTTGAATTCCAATGCAATTTTTATTATTAACACTGAACATGTTACGATGACCCCTGCCAATATTACGATGACCCCTGCCAATATTACGATGACCCCTGCCAATATTACGATGAGCTCTGAAAATATTATGATGACCTCTGAAAATATTACGATGACCGCTGAAAATATTATGATGACCTCTGAAAATATTATGATGACCTCTGAAAATATTATGATGACCTCTGAAAATATTATGATGACCTCTGAAAATAGTATGATGACCTCTGAAAATATTATGATGACCTCTGAAAATATTATGATGACCTCTGAAAATATTATGATGACCCAGGAAAATGTTAAAATCACCCAAGAAAATATTACGATGACCTCTGAAAATATTACGATGACCCCTGCCAATATTACGATGACACCCTGAAAATATTACGATGACCCCCTGAAAATGTTATGAGGACCACTTGGTTATACTTGCCCTGAGCACCGACTCCAGGCAACATAACATCGCTTAACAACATTCGCTTCCGTCTCCCGTACAGAGAAGGTCAACATCGCGAGAAGGACCAGGGCCATACTCCACTGGATACTTGATGCCATTGTTCAGTTATGTTTTAGTATCCAAGGTCTACAAATGTAAAGAAATTGATCACATCAAAATCATACTTTTTTTAACCAGGAAATCAGAAACTCAAGGGATAGATAATTTTACCACATAGCTTTATAAATAGTCTTTCGCTAGAGCTAATTACTATTTTGCAACAACATGTAATTCGTTTAGCTAGGATTAAGATTAGGGTTAGTGCATCCCGGATTGGGTCAAGATATTCCCCCATGACCCCATTTTCACTAGCTTGCCGCCCTAATTGTAATTAAAGAAATTCTGCCCGGGGGGGGGGGGAGGGACAAGCCCCGCGCCCCTTCCTACGCATCTCCAACAAAACTTTATAAAAGCAGCTCATGAGAACTAAGACCTATTTTGCGAAGTGGTGGCATACACTTGTGTGGTGAAGACCGTAGGGGAGTAAAACACACCTTTCCAACCTTCTCCTGGTTCCATTTGGCATTTCACATCCATTGATGTAGATAGGCCAGGGTGCGCACGCATCGACTGATGTAGATGGGCCAGGGTGCGCACGCATCGACTGATGTAGATGGGCCAGGGTGCGCACGCATCGACTGATGTAGATGGGCCAGGGTGCGCACGCATCGACTGATATAGATGGGCCAGGGTGGACATGGATCGACTGATACAGATGGGCCAGGGTGCACAAGAATCGACTGATATAGATGGGCCAGGGTGCACACGAATCGACTGATACAGATGGGCCAGGGTGCACATGGATCGACTGATTTAGATGGGCCAGTGTGACCTCATCTCAACACCATAAAACTAACCTCTGAGGTTTTTTTTAGTTGCTAAATTAAACTAAAATATTTAGACGTCTAGCTATTGAATAGACCTAACATAGCACAATTATTCATCTTTTGCCTAACATATCACAATTAATCATCTTTTGTTCAATATTTCAAAATTAATAATCTTTTGTTCAAAACACCACCATTAATACTCTTTTGTCCAACATATCACAAATAATAATCTTTTGTCTAACATATCACAATTAATCATCTTTTATCCAATATTTCAAAATTAATAATCTTTTGTTCAAAACATCACAATTAATCCTCTTTTGACCAACATACCGCAATTGATCATCTTTTGTCCAACATATCAAAATTAATAACCTTTTGTCTAATATATCATTGTTATTCATTTTTAAAATTTATTCCAACACATCATAATTCATTATCTTTTGTCTAACACAGTGGTGGCCAACACGAGGCCTGTGGGCCGACACGAGGCCTGTGGGCCACATGCGGCCGGCCGGGAGTCATGTTGCGGCCCTCGGAGCTAGGTCAAATGAACATAAACATTACTTTATTCTACATATGAGCACAAGAACATTACATCATTAGTCGTTCGTGACATATATTTTTAAATTCTATCTAAGAGAAATTTGAGATGCCTCGCTTTTTGGAATAATTCATTGTTTTTTTTTTAGCTTTTTTAAATGTCCCGATATTTGACACTCAAGGTTACTTAGGTTTTTTTCCCCCGACGCTATGTCCTAGGTGTTGATAAAATGTCGTAAACTAAGACTTCGACTTCTGATATCTATGCTCTTTTGTCTTTGGGGAGCGCGTAACACGATCGGGCTCATACTCATATCTACTTTCAGTCTCACAACGCTATCGGGCTCATACTCATATCTACTTTCAGTCTCACAGTGCTATCAGGCTCATACTCATATCTACTTTCAGTCTCACAGTGCTATCAGGCTCATACTCATATCTACTTTCAGTCTCACAACGCTATCGGGCTCATACTCATATCTACTTTCCGTCTCACAGCGCTATCGGGCTCATACTCATATCTACTTTCAGTCTCACAACGCTATCAGGCTCATACTCATATCTACTTTCAGTCTCACAACGCTATCGGGCTCATACTCATATCTACTTTCAGTCTCACAGCGCTATCGGGCTCATACTCATATCTACTTTCAGTCTCACAACGCTATCAGGCTCATACTCATATCTACTTTCAGTCTCACAGCGCTATCGGGCTCATACTCATATCTACTTTCAGTCTCACAACGCTATCAGGCTCATACTCATATCTACTTTCAGTCTCACAACGCTATCGAGCTCATACTCATATCTACTTTCAGTCTCACAGCGCTATCGAGCTCATACTCATATCTACTTTCAGTCCAGCTTGACAAAGTTCCGTCTTATTCTGTAGTTACGTTCTGTTATCGCCACTACGACTGGAGAGATTTAGCGACCGGCGTTAAATACATATTTATCAGATCACAATAACGCTACATTCCAAGCAGAAGTAATATGGCTGACCCGTGCCGAAATGTTGAAAAGAGTGTTTGATTTGCAGCCAAGAAATACAAGCAAGTATCCCAGAGTTGGAAGCAAAAGTCTCGGTTCGCGACTTCGAATTTCTGGTCGCTGTTACTAGCCACCTAACTGACCCCCAATGCTCGTCTACAAGGGAAAGATCAATTAATTGATAAGATGTATGATCATATTTCTGCATTTTAAATGGAACTTGATCTTTGAGAACAACGGTTGAGGACAAAAAACTGTACTCACTTTCCTACATTGTAACCAGACGTGACACAGGAGGCGGTGTAACGACACGCTTATTTCATGTCTGACTTAAACCTGGCATTTGAAAACCAATATCAGGATTTAAAAAAAACAACATCATCTCCTTTTTTTGTGCAATTGCAGCCCCATTCGCTGTAGACGTGAATTTATTACCAGGGAGATTACAAAATGAACATTTTGAAATATGTTGTGATGCACAGTAAAAGGAGAAATTCCACCAAATTGGTTTGGACGAGTTCTATAAAACGTAATGAAAGCCAACGTTTAAAAGTGATTCCCTTAGATACTGCAAAGAATCTTGTGACCGTCTCTCGTTGTCTCCAACTACTTTATGTGGACGTTAACCTCGTTCACTGTTGATTCTCGTACTGCACAATAGGTAACGACACGTTGATGGTTAGAGTTCACTTTAATGATCTGCTCTACTGTTCACATTCAAGACCTGGACTCTACTCTGACTGTCGTGTTTGTCTCTCGATCTCGTTGCTGTCTTCTCACGTCTGTCCTCGACTACACTCCTGTCCGGCTTCGCTCTCGAGTGTTCTCCCTCCACTGGGCTCTCTCATTTAGTGTCCCCAAACCTCTAGCTTATATCCAGACGTCATCATACAAGAAACTAACCACCAATAGAATCTCATGGTTATTGCTTTGCTACGTTAATAGAGACTACACTCTCCCAAACCAGATCTATTACCCCCGGATGCCTATTCAATGTCTCTACCCACTTATTAACACGGATCAAGTTTGGCTTTCCCTATCACGGCTTGGACATTCCTCAATTGGCAACAGACTACAAAAGTCATTACTCCAACTTATTCGCGATACCCATACTCCGCTTTAGTGTACGATGGGCTTGGTTCTCAGGCTATGCTTTCCCCATCAAGAATTGCCAAAGTCGACCCTTGCCTCACTGTTGTCACGTTGACCGCTACCTGCACCCAGGCTGGTCAGCCCTCGTCATCGCACTGTGGGTCCCCCCTCCCCCCACACGTGCACCACCCAGGCCGAAATCTCTACAAAACAGACCTGGACACCAAGTGCGGTGGGGATACGCCGACGAGCTGCGATTGACGCCCGCTAGTCACAGATTTGAAATAAGACCATCCTAAATAAAATTGTCAAAGTAGGCACTCAAAAATAAAGTGACTTTCGAAGTCTTCCCGTAGAGATCAACACAAGTATCTACTGTAAGGTTCTAGCTCCCCGCAATCCCTAATGTGTTATCCCCAGTTAAGCAAGTACTCACCAACAGAGCCTCGTAGTTGTAGTTACATAGGAAACAGTGGAACTGTTCTTTGTTTTGCCAGCAGACTTTGGCATTATATATATATATAGACAATTTAAACCACACAAAAAAAAAAACAGGCCACATCCGTTGTCCTAAACGAGGCCCCAAGTTCCGGTTTACATTAACGGCGGTATTTCACTGAAAGTACTCGTTTGACTTTCAGAATTTCCCCAACTGCTCGCTCTATATTTATATTACAGAGCTGTTGTTCGTCCACGCGTATGAACATTGTATTCAAGGATCCCTAAGAGAAGGCACAGCAACAAACCAAAGATACACAGAACAGTTGCAGGTGGCGCAAATAGGAGAAGACAAAGCGCTTCAATCTGACTGCTCAATGGGATGTCAGAACATCGGGCAATTTTGCATGTCTATAAGCCTGTCTGTGGTGGCGTAGCCAGGGTGCGGGGGGGGGAGGTGGGGGGTGTGCAGGCCGCACCGGGTGACACCATGCCTGTCTGTACTAGATTGGTGGTAGCAGGCCGCACCGGGTGACACCATGCCATGTCTGTACTAGATTGGTGGTAGCAGGCCGCACCGGGTGACACCATGCCATGTCTGTACTAGATTGGTGGTAGCAGGCCGCACCGGGTGACACCATGCCATGTCTGTACTAGATTGGTTTACCGAAGCTTACTCCATCAGGTTTTTTTGACATGCTGTTCGTACGTCATAGTAACACTGAAATAACAGCACTCCTTTTCCCATGATAAATGCAACTTTTAATATAGAAATATAGTCACAAACTGTAAATTCCGACTACACATGCATGGCGCAGCTTGCTGTAAGAGAGACAAAAAAACACAATTTTCTGCTAAAAAGCTCCTATCGCAGTCCAACACTCTGATAATCAGTTAAATAACATGTTCACAGCATGGCGGGTCAAATGTTTGTTAATGAAAAGTCGGACGTATGTGTAAAAAGCCATTCATTTATTGACTGGAAATTGTAGTTTAAGCTACCCGTTACTGTAAAAGCCATACATATGTCAACTGGCAAGTGCAGTTTAAGCTAGCAGTTTCTGTAAAGGTTATACATCTGTGGATTGGAAATTGTAGTTTAAGCAAGCCGTTACTATAAAAACCATACATCTGTGGACGGGAAATTGTAGTTTAAGCTAGCCGTTACTATAAAAACCATACATATGAGGACGGGAAATTGTAGTTTAAGCTAGCCGTTACTATAAAAGCCATAAATCTGTGGATTGGAAATTGTAGTTTAAGCTAGCCGTTACTGTAAAAGCCATAAATCTGTGGATTGGAAATTGTAGTTTAAGCAAGCCGTTACTATAAAAACCATACATCTGTGGACGGGAAATTGTAGTTTAAGCTAGCCGTTACTGTAAAAGCCATACATCTGTGGATTGGAAATTGTAGTTTCAGCTAGCCGTTACTGAAAAAGCCATAAATCTGTGCACTGGAAATTCAAGTTTAAGCTAGCCGTTTCTGTAAAGGCCATTCACTTCTAGACTGGATTAAGTGCTCTAAAAAATTTAGAGCTTATACATAGATCCATTTCAGTCGTAGTAATGATCATTTCAGACACGTTGAATCGTTGTAAATTGAATAAATAAAAATCATACAGTGACTTATAAAGCAGTTTGTAGTCACTTTTTTTTTTTTGCTTCTTGACTGCACTGACGCACTCTTATCTTAGCCTGCTCCCTGCCTTGGAATTTAAATCTGATATATAAAACTCAGCGTGAATATGTTGGATTGTTTGTTTGTGAGTGGGTCGATCAATCACAAGGAAACCCAACACTGGATCGCAACCTTTCAAAAAAATTAAAATAATTATTCTTTTCTTACTTTGATGAAAGTAAAGTGGGTGTGTATTTTTAATGAGATAAACCTTTTTTTTTTTTTTTTTTTTAAAGACACTCAAATCTGTTATAGACGTGAAAAACGGTTACGAGATTCTCCTTCAGATAAAGGTTTTCTTTGATTACGATTTTTTTAAATATATAATTTTAAAAAACGAGGCAAATTTTTTGTTAAAAATTTTGATGAAAAACGGTAAACTTTCAAAAAAATTTAAATAATTTTTTTTTTCTTACTTTTATGAAAGTAAAGTGGGTTTGTATTTTTAATGAGATAAAACTTTTTTTTTTTTTTTTTTTAAAGACACTCAAATCTGTTATAGACGTGAAAAACGGTTACGAGATTCTCCTTCAGATAAAGGTTTTCTTTGATTACGATTTTTTGAAATATATAATTTTAAAAAACGAGGCAAATTTTTTGTTAAAAATTTTGATGAAAAACGGTAAAAGAAACTGAACAATTAAAAAAACCACACAAAAACTCTAGCCAGGCATATCGCCATTCAGCACTATGTCATTGTGACAGTGTCAGTATGTGCGGTCATCACTATGTCATTGTGACAGTGTCAGTATGTGCGGCGATTGTTTCATCTTGGCCAAACTCGGTGAACATGCCCTTCATAAAGCCTTCGAAAACATCATTGGATACCAAACTCATAAGATCCACATCTTTTGTGTGCAAAAGGGGTAGGGGGCGAGTCCAAATTTTATTTTGATTAAAACGATCAAGTTATTTAAATTTTGATCATTACCCAACCAAAATACTCACTGGATGTAAAGCATTAAAGGTGACGCTCTTTGGGCGCCCAGCAGCCCCCCCTCCCCCCTCCACCCCTCTAGTAAAATTGCTAAAAGCAATATCTTTGCAAAATTCATTCAGATTTTTAATGGGATAAAGTTGAAACATGAACTTGAAAGTTGTTTCTGAATGATTTTGTACACCACCCCCCCCCTTTCCCTGTGGAATGGGGATCCTATTTTATTTGAACTGATTAAAGACCATACATAGGACATTAGTGGATACCTTTTTTTAAAAAAAAATAAGCCATCTTTTAAAGTTAGATTTTTCTTCAAATCATGGCCTTTGGCAGGGCCGTCCTTTCAGGGGGTTTCCGGGGGAAAGGTGGGGGTGGTGGAGAGACTAAAACTTGGCGGGGCTTGTTGAGTTGTTCATTACTGGAGGGGGCCACAGTACATAGCAATTGAAATAAATAAAACCTAAAAATTCACGGGGTGGGGGGGCAATGACCCCCCCCCCTGCCCTACCCACATAACGTCCATGGTTCTTGGCTGTGGTCAGCTTGTATATAGATCAACCAAAAACGGCTTAGACCCCCACAAATTCAATGTTTCCAAATCTCATTAGAAATCTTCGTTTTCATGGGAGGTGTGAATGTTGACAATGGTCATTTAGGTGAAGTGTTTTTGACAGGGCCTTAATGTGACGCGGCTGTTTTATTGGGGGGGGAGGGGGACCTATTTCAAGTTATCTGAACGAACTGTGTATTACTTGTTCTGTGCAGTCGGCAACAATTTGATCATTTATTTGAGGAAGTTAATTGCGCTTGAGCCACAAAACAATACAACTTCTTCTTCTTTTTTTCTATATCTTGAGGCCTGATGGTCAATGTATTGATCATTCTGGCTCTCATAAATGTACAGGGAGCTCGAGATGTCTCTGTGCTTGGTAGTGAATAGGATATTTCACTTGTGGCAAGGGTTACTCACCGAGATCTATCATTAGCTTGCAACAATTAGCTGAACATGTGAAAAAAACATGCCCACCAGTAACGCATTTGATAAGAATCTGAATCAGCTAACCTCCTCCCCCCTCCCTCCCCCCATCAAGGCTGGCAACAGCACATTTTTTTTCACCTCCCCCCTGAACCCTATTAATATTTTTATTCCCCCCCCCCCCCGCGCCGGGGGCGCTTTCACACAGCAGATTTATTTCACCAATTATTTCAGAAAAACAAAAAGAAAATATATACGCACCAAACGCACTTGTGATATTATTTTAAAGTCCCTCATTTAGCGCAATTATCGGGAATTTTATGTCGTGAAATCAGTGTCATCACATTTCCTTGATGTTCCCCTTTGAAAAACAGGAAAAACTGTGTTTTGGGGATTGGGGTTGGGTGGGGAGGGGTGGGTGGCTGAAAATTTGAAAGAATGTTTTGTCATCGGCAACGAGTCTATGTGCAAAGATTCAGCTCGATAAGTTGACGGGTTGTGTGTTAATTAGCCGTCCGAAGAGTTTGACTGCCACGAGAAGAAGCGAAGTTGATATAAAGGATTTAAAAATAAAAAATAAAAAAAATGGTGCATTTCAAAAAGAAAAGAAAAAAAATCCCCATTATTGAAGCCAAGAAAGGTTAGCTTTCCCAAGTTGAAATTCTGGTTAATTTATTTCAAAAAATATTTGTTTCTTTTACATTTATCCCCTAGAAGACAAAATAAATGACAAATAAAGAAAGAAAACTAAAAAGTAGCCTCGAAACGGAATGCCTACACTCAACGCAGCGAACATACGTGGAAATTGGCAAAAGAGAGAAACAAAGGCACACACGGACATATGCTCTATTTTTATGCGTGGGTTCATTTTGCGTCCACGTGTTAAAAGCAAAATGGTTTGAATGTATTCAACGCCATTCTAGACGATATTGTTGAAATTTGGCCACCAAAATAGCAATGGACTTTAAAAGAAGTAAATATGTTTTAATGCAAAAGAAAATTTGTATTATTGGAAGTGTGAATAATAATAATTTTTGCAGTGAATTAAAATTGAAGTACCGAGCAGCGGTTCTCAACCAGTGGGTCGCGACCCCTTTGGGGGTCGCACGACACTTTCCCAGGGGTCACCTAAGACCTCCTGAAAAACACATATACTCTTACAGTTATAAAGTATCCACGAAAATAATTTTGTGGTTAGGGGTCGCCACAACATGAGGAACTGTTTTAAAGGTCGCGGCATTAGAAAGGTTGAGAACCACTGCCTTGAGAGGTTAAGGAATTTATATGAAGTAGGCAAATGACATAACAGGTTAAACGGGTAGAAACTTCGATAACAGATTCAAATTGAATATTAATTTTACCATACAACACTTGAGGATGCTTGGGGTTTGAGTGGAAATTGTTCAGACTGCATGAGACTGATTGCCAGTTCGAGCGAGCAGCAGATGAGACCATACGATTCAAAGCCAGGGGTGCGGCTCCAAGCCGAGACAGTAGCCGCATGTTCGCCATTGGTATCTCCTTGCAGAAAATGGATGCTGTTTCGAAGAGTGACGTCGCCATGACGTCAAGGGTAGTGAGAGTTTGCCATCGTCCATCGCGCGCAGGAGGTCACTCATGACTCGGACCAGTGCTGTTTCTGTGCTATGACCAAGTCGGTAGGCGGACTGAGAGGAAGGATAGAGATTGCGAGAGTGAAGATAGTCAGAGAGCTGAGAGAGTATGAGTTTTTCTATGATTTTTGAGAGAAAGGAGAGGTTGCTGACGGGGCGGTAATTCTTGAGTGTGTTTGGATCAAGTGAGAGTTTCTTTAGGAGTGGCAGGACTATCGACCGTTTAAAAATGGGAGGGAAGATGTCAGAGAGAATCGAAGAATTTATGATGGAGGTGAGTGCTGGGAGGAGGACGTCAAGGCATTTACGTTTACGTTACTGTCAATAAATTGCCGGCCAATTTTGGAAGGGAATAGCTGGGTCAAGGTCACTTAATGCCTTAATTATACACTGCGTACTCTTCATGTCTTGTTTTTCGTCCTAGTTGGCCAAGTGGAGTGGTTCTAAAATTGATTAAAAACCACCCGTTTTTTTTAAAATATGTTTTCTTATCGAGTCCGTCCTCCTATGAACCGTAACATAATGTTTAGAGCCATTGTATATCTTAACAAAGTTCACTAAAGAACCACGGGTGGTAGAGGTGGTGTGCAAAAAATCACTACAGTGGGGCGAAATGCCACCCCCCCCCCACCCCGCCATATAAAGAAGACAATAATGTTGGCCGGGTCGTACCAAACCTCCAATCCACCCACCCCCTTTTCTTACAACTACAACACTGTACAACACTGTACAACACTGTAAGTGTTGGAAAAATTGAGGCCGCAAGACACAACATGGGCCAGTCTATTCCATCTTTAAATGGTTGTCAAGAGGTCATGGTGAGTCGAAATCATTGACCCCCATTTACAGGAGTATTAACTCGCTGTCTCAAATTCAAAATAAACACAGGAGTTAAACGCTGTTACACAATAGAAAGACACTGTACGTTTTTTTTTTTTTTTAAAGTAAAAAAAAGAAAATGTTTTCACCGAGTGCTGACAAAGTTACCCGTGGTTGTTTTGATGTTTGCACGCTTTTTCCCTCCTCGTGTCTCCCTGTTTCGTGAACTGATTCGAAACTCACGCCTCTCTTTTCCTGTTGGTGGTCAGTTCTGAGGTTACTTGCAAAGATTTGGTCACACGTTCTATAACGCTGCATGCGGCTGTTCGAGAGCAGATAATCAGTGAATTAAATTCTACTGTGAGATTTGGATTTTCTATAAGGTAAGATACCATAACCGTATCAGAGCTTCTTATTTAACTTAGGTATTATGTATAAGGTAAGATACCATAACCGTATCAGAGCTTCTCATTTAACTTAGGTATTATGTATAAGGTAAGATACCATAACCGAATCAGAGCTTCTCATTTAACTTAGGTATTATGTATAAGGTAAGATACCATAACCGTATCACAGCTTCTCATATAACTTAGGTATTATGTATAAGGTAAGATACCATAACCGTATCACAGCTCCTCATTTAACTTAGGTATTATGTATAAGGTAAGGAAGGAAATGTCACAACGTTTCAAATGTTATTGCCAGCTTTTAAGACAATTTTTTCGAATTTTTTTGTAGTTTTAAAACGTACATACATGTAAGAATGGTTACATAGATTCTATGGATGTATAACTGCTGTAGACTACTAGTGCCTTCATTTATNTTTTTTGCTTTTAATTTATATATTTTTTTTTTTTTTTTTTTTTTTTTATAAACTTAGATAAATCTTGTCTCGTTGCGAAACGTGTCCGGAGCTTTTAACTACTGTGGCTAGTGTAAGTTATTCGTGTAATAAAATCAATAAATAACGCGGGTTGAGGTGGCCCCTGGCAGCTCCATAGACCATTTAAGGTTTCAAAAAACTAGTTTACTCATTCTGTGTTATAAACATGACAATAGTCTGTTGTAGAGAATGAGGCGCTCAGCTTCATGCAGCTGACAGGGCCGTCGTTTCAGTTTCTAATGGAATAAGGCATACTATGTTTTAATAAATTGGAGCTTGCACTAGCATGTACACGTGGTTGGTCATGTGGTAAGTTCCAATGAAATAAAGCATAAGTTTTTTTTAATTGGATCATGCATTACACATGGTCATGTGGTCGGTGATGTGGTAAGTTCCAATGAGATTAGGATATATAAGAAAAATCTCACAAAACACTATTCCATTTTTGACAAAATAATCACTTCAGTTTACACACCCATCGTCTTATGACACATCAAATGTCTGTATGACACACGCATTGTCTGTATGACACACGCAATGTCTGTATGACACACGCATTGTCTGTATGACACACGCATTGTCTGTATGACACACCCATTGTCAGTGTGACACACCCATTGTCAGTGTGACACACCCATTTTCTGTGACACTCCCATTGTCTGTATGACACCCATTGTCTGTATGACACACCCATTGTCTGTATGACACACTCATTGTCTGTATGACACACCCATTGTCTGAATTTAATCAATTGCTTCACTTCACTTTAGTATACTTGAATGTCTATATTAATTTAATCTCAAACATGTCTCTCTACTGTAGAATAATGGACACACTCCTGGAGTTGGCTATCAGTTGAGTTACACATCATTTGCAGCTACTTGTTGCAGTAACCAGCTGCCTGTTGCAGTAACCAGCTAGACATTGCTTGAGCAAGCTAGACATTGCTTGAGCAAGCTAGACATTGCTTGAGCAAGCTAGACATTGCTTGAGCAAGCTATAATCAGCTATCTGTTGAAGTAACCAGCTGCCTGTTGAAGTAACCAGCTGCCTGTTGAAGTAACCAGCTGCCTGTTGAAGTAACCAGCTGCCTGTTGAAGTGACCAGCTGCCTGTTGAAGTGACCAGCTGCCTGTTGAAGTGACCAGCTGCCGGTTGGGGTGACCACCAGCTGCCGGTTGGGGTGACCACCAGCTACAGGTTGGGGTGACCACCAGCTACAGGTTGGGGTGACCACCAGCTACAGGTTGGGGTGACCACCAGCTACCGGTCGGGGTGACCACCAGCTACCGGTCGGGGTGACCACCAGCTGCCTGTCGGGGTGACCACCAGCTGCCTGTCGGGGTGACCACCAGCTGCCTGTCGGGGTGACCACCAGCTGCCTGTCGGGGTGACCACCAGCTGCCTGTCGGGGTGACCACCAGCTGCCTGTCGGGGTGACCACCAGCTGCCTGTCGGGGTGACCACCAGCTGCCTGTCGGGGTGACCACCAGCTGCCTGTCGGGGTGACCACCAGCTGCCGGTCGGGGTGACCACCAGCTGCCGGTCGGGGTGACCACCAGCTGCCGGTCGGGGTGACCACCAGCTGCCGGTCGGGGTGACCACCAGCTGCCGGTCGGGGTGACCACCAGCTAGAAACAATTTTCCGGTTTAGGGTGAGTCTTCTGCTTTCTGACAATCTTTCAGAGCCTAACGTGAAGGAAATCGGCAGTGTTCAGGCAGTTCAATCATGGCTTGCCCCTACCGGTCGGCCAAGCTGAAAAATGTGCTGAATGATAAGACTTATGTGGACACGCTTCACCAGAGATCATTTTCGGTAAATAAATAATTACTGTAGTAAATAGTTAAATATATTTTAAAATGTACTGCAACAGCCTAAGAAAATAATCCTGACAAGTCAAATCTATTGTTTAGCCTAACAAATAGGAGTTCCGCTATAGCTAAAGTATGGGTTCGTTCGCATAATGTCCAGTTATAAAATCTAAAATTTGCTTCCATTCATTCATATCCAATCAGTTGCATTCCTAGGATAGTGTTTTCTTAGTGGCAGTCCTAGGATGGTATATTAATAGCGGTCCTAGGATGGTGTTATCTTAATGGTGGTCCTAGGATGTTATCTTAATGGTGGTCCTAGGATGTTGTTATCTTAAAGGTGGTCCTATGATGATGTTATCTTATTGGGGTCCTTGGATATTGTTTTCTTAATGGTGTTCCTGGGATGGTGTTATCTTAATGGTGGTCCTAGGATGGTGTTATCTTAATGGTGGTCCTAGGATGGTGTTATCTTAATGGTGGTCCTAGGATAGTGTTATCTTAATGGTGGTCCTAGGATGGTGTTATCTTAATGGTGGTCCTAGGATGTTATCTTAATGGTGGTCCTAGGATGGTGTTATCTTAAAGGTGGTCTATTATTATCTTATTGGGGTCCTTGGATGTTGTTTTCTTAATGGTGTTCCTGGGATAGTGTTATCTTAATGGTGGTCCTAAGATGGTGTTATCTTAATGAGGTCCTGGGATGGTGTTTTCTTAATGTTGGTCCTGGGATGGTGTTTTCTTAATGGAGTTCCTGGGATGGTGTTATCTTAATGGTGGTCCTGGTATAGTGTAACCATAATGGTGGTCTTGATGGTGTTATCTTAATGGGGGCCTCGGGATGGTGTTATCTTATTGGTGGTCCTGGGATGGTGTTATCTTAATGTTGGTCCTACGATTGTTACCTTAATGGTGGTCCTGGGATGGTGTTATCTTAATGCGGGTCGTGGGATGGTGTTATCTTAATGCGGATTCTGGTATGGTGTCTTATTTGGCTATGTTTTAAATCAAGGTCAACAAAGAATTTAATCTTTTCTAGACTTTGGTGTGCAATTCAGTTTAGTTCGAATATACTTCTAAAAATTTCTTTTAAAGTCTTGATAAAATACCATCAATACTCGCATATAAGCCTACATCACATATAATAAGCGGACCCCCTAAAACTGCTTTAAAATGGCCAGTTTTTGCACACAAAAACCTGCATATAAGCCGACCATACAATTGTCTAATTTGACTCCATATTTTTGGTTCATAGAAATGTGTTACTGTCAAGATGTAAAATGCTTACTTTAATGTTACATACCAGTTTGTTTACCTTTAATGTTACATACCAGTTTGTTTACCTTTATGTTACATACCAGTTTGTTTACCTTTTGGAATGACACAAAAACGTGTTCTGCTCCTTCATACTCAGTCTAATTATCAGCTATGCAGACATTAAATTCTTTGAAGTGACACCTCTGTATATATATATATATATTAGTACTCTGTACACACAACCAAATAAAGAGTCAGATAGCGATGAAAATGTGTGGCTTGAAAATTGGCGTTAGTGTCTGACCTTGTGTCCATTTTGTTTTATGCGCTTATAAGCCGACCCCCTGATTTCAGTATTGTATTTTATAGTTCTAACTTTGGCTTATATGCGAGTATATACCGTATATACGGTAAGATTTTTTATAATTAAGAGGAATAGACTTCGATAAGACTACTAGTGTGTTACAGGGCAACTATTAGCACTCTCTTGTTTTGTCTCCTGAAAGCTTTTTTGCCGAATAGTCATGTTATTGTACAGCATTTTTCTCAAACCTCAACATATCTTGTTCGACTATTTATGACTTTGATAAAGCTTTTAAGTAGATTAACGCAAATTAATTTGTGTAAATGATTAATTCCAAGACAAAACATACATTTCAATGTTACATTAAACCATTCGTCACTACAACCAACTATAAAATTATAAAATTAAAAAATCAATTTTAGACAATGTTTTCGGACAATAACTATAAAATATGTATGTCCTACCTATTACTATAATTACTATTATAAATTTGTTTCCTACCATTTACTATTAAAAATGAAATTGAACAAAAACTAGCACACGCCCTTGATGAAATCTAAGTTCAGAAGAGCGTTCTTCAATTGTTAGATAATTACTACTGGATTTATCCCCAGAGGTGGCAACTTTAAAGCTGTGTGTAATTAGTCCAGTTTTTTTTTTTATATTTCAAAAAAGAATAAAGATGTCGCCATAACTCGATTTACAAAAATACTTTTCAGCCAGTTCCTTGCAACACCCAGCGATGCATGGGCTCACTTATGTCCCAACAGGCCCATAGGCCCCCTGGGGTCCCTAGATCACAGGAGGAACTTTTGGTTCACGCCACAGACTTCATTGACCAATATTTAAACTCATGTGAAATGTGAGTAGGCCTATATGAATCTTAATTTGTTTTTGAACATTTATGATTAAGTCAAAACTTGTGTAATTTACACGATCATGCAATTTACTACCTAGCCATTAAAATATAAAACATGTTTATGCTATTGCATTTTATCAGTATGTCTACAATGATTGACAACAAATTGATATGGAATTCCAATGATCTCTGCAAATTAATTTGAACTCCATTGTTGGTTACATAATTTCTTCTTCCTCTAGAAAAAATGCAATAAAGAATTAACGTCATTTGACTTGTTCATCAATAAAGCAACACGCCAGTATGGGATATAAAACGAGTTTATAAAAGTTTATAAAAGGAGTTGGTAGCTGTGAGTCTGTGGCCCGGAGTCTGCAGGGCCCCGAGTCTGCAGGGCCCCGAGTCAATCTTATTGTTTACTCATATAAATGTCCACATGAATCTACAGACATGCAGAACGGTAAAAAAAAAAAGGTTCATATTTTAAGAAGAGATTCTTACAGCTTTTTTTTGTATGGGATCGTGCTTAATTTTTATTTTGTATAACACGTTATTTTGGGCAAGGGGATTTTTTGTAATGAATGGGTTTTAAAAACTATAATAGTGTACTTCCTTACAATTATTTTTATCTTCTGTCTACTGTAGCAGGACAAAAAAATATATTTGGATAGAAAACATGTTAGTGCTCACACGCAGAACCCAAAAATATGTTTGTTAGTGGATAAGTCAAAGAGGGACTTAAAATTGATATTATGGTTGTAAGTCGTGGGGTCCCAGATTGTACGGTCATAGGTCTACGATTTTTGAGTCCTGCAAATCACATCACTCATGACTATTTGCATGGTCTTGCACTTGACTGTAAATTAATTTTCATGAGTTTTGTTTCGCCATTTTTAAGTTAATTTAAATCACTTTGCTAGCTTACAGTCTACCATATATTACCTGCTAGCTTACAGTCTACCATATATTACCTGCTGGCTTACAGTCTACCATATATTACCTGCTGGCTTAGTCTACCATATATTACCTGCTGGCTTAGTCTACCATATATTACCTGCTGGCTTACAGTCTACCATATATTACCTGCTGGCTTACAGTCTACCATATATTACCTGCTGGCTTACAGTCTACCATATATTACCTGCTGGCTTACAGTCTACCATATATTACCTGCTGGCTTAGTCTACCATATATTACCTGCTGGCTTACAGTCTACCATACATTACCTGCTGGCTTACAGTCTACCATATATTACCTGCTAGCTTACAGTCTACCATATATTACCTGCTGGCTTACAGTCTACCATATATTACCTGCTGGCTTAGTCTACTATATATTACCTGCTGGCTTACAGTCTACCATATATTACCTGCTGGCTTACAGTCTACCATATATTACCTGCTGGCTTACAGTCTACCATATATTACCTGCTAGCTTACAGTCTACCATATATTACCTGCTAGCTTAGTCTATCATATATTACCTGCTAGCTTACAGTCTATCATATATTACCTGCTAGCTTACAGTCTACCATATATTACCTGCTAGCTTACAGTCTACCATATATTACCTGCTAGCTTACAGTCTACCATATATTACCTGCTAGCTTACAGTCTACCATATATTACCTGCTAGCTTACAGTCTACCATATATTACTTAACTAGCAAAATACCCGCGCTTCGCAGCGGAGAGCCTTTTTTAAAGAAAAAAAGTTAAGAAATTATCAAGTATCCGCATATTCCTATCCGCATATTCCTATCCGCATATTCCTATCCGCATATTCCTATCCGCATATTCCTATCCGCATATTCCTATCCGCATATTCCCGAGACTATACACTGCATTCCTAGCTGTAGCGAAACAGTGCTGTCACAAACTTTCCACCGAACGGGACCAGTCGCCCTAATGTGTTACGCCAATAAGGCAATTTTAAAAATACACGTCGACTGACATCCTGTAAATAAAAAAATAATTCAACATCCCTTTTTTTTTAAACCCTCCACTTTTTAAACCTCTAGCCCAGTGGTTCTCAACCTTTCTAGTGCTGCGACCCTTTAATACAGTTTCTCGTGTCGTGGCGACCCCCCAGCCACACAATTATTTTCGTTGCTACTTCATAGCTGTAAAGATAAGTGTTTTCAGATGGTCTTAGGCGACCCCCAATGGGGTCGCGACCCACAGGTTGAGAACCGCTGCTCTAGCTAATATACCTGGCATTGCACGGGATTGCATTAGGACACTGATCCTGGTAAGATCCCAATTCTAATAAGTCCCCAATTCCATTTTGAACCCTAGCCCGGCGCAATCCCTTTTCCCAATGGGATCACATTTTCTAGTGGCTCCGGATCCAGGGGAATCCAGATCCCGTCGGTGTCTTGATCTCAGTGAATCACGATGGGCTACCTATCACATTAGGATACCGTTCTCTGTGGGATCCTGTTCCACCAAGGGACTCTCTTTTCCGATGTTATCCATTTTCCTGGTAGGATTCTGATCCCGGTTTGATCCCGTTACCCGATGGGATCTTGATGGTATCCTGTTCCCAGATGCGTGACCGATGGTTCCCATTAGGCGCCAGTTTCTCAATGGGATCATGCTCAGTGCGATTTTGTTCGAATAAGCTTTTAGATCTAATTATATATTCCCGTAGAGCAAAATAGAACATTCTAGATTAAATTTAATATCCTCCATGAAACGTGTAAAAAATTACTTTTCTATTATTTGTCGATTGAGAAATATAAAACTAAATTGTACTACTATAACTATAGTACATTTAAATTGAATTATGATAGGCTCTGTATGGATTGGATATTATTAGTTTTAAATCCACCATTATTTTAATACGGACTAAGAAGGGTGTTGCTACAATCTATTCACATAAAACCTATATTTTTATCTAAGCCTATTGATATTTATATAGGTTATATTAGGAAAAATGAAATGCGGCCCCACAGGCCCACAGGGATGGTTATGAGTTCAGTACCCTTCGGTATTTGAATATGGCTAATGAAGTGTATGTGAAATAAGTTTGGTAAAGATCCATCCATTCATGTAGGAATATTAAGCCTATTGATATTTATATAGTTTATATAAGAGGAAATGAAATGGGGCCCCGGCTTCAGAGGTATGGATATTATGAGTTCAGTTCCCTGTGGTATTTGAGTATGGATAGCCTATTAAGTCCCCATGTTACTACCTTCCCTATAAAAACTTAGCTTGATTTTGCTACTAATTTGATTGTATTTGTAACAGCCGTAATAAAATGGTGAGGAATTTCAATAAATAAATTTAACTAGTTAAATACAAATTGATTATTGAATAGTCTTCTTTAATTAAAAAATAAACATCTGTTTATAAAATAGGACATTCCTGTCCAGGAGCAACACACCGGCCCATTTGAATAGACTTAGCGAGATCCAAGATTCTGTGACAAAGTCCGGCACCTACGACCTGACAATGGCTGAACTGACATTTGGTGCTAAGCAAGCTTGGAGAAATGCGCCCAGATGCATTGGCAGAATGCAGTGGTCAAAACTCCAGGTAAGCATGCACGGAATGGCATTGTCGGCAGATGTCTGGAAATAGGAATTCTCATGTCCCGTGTTTTCGTTTATTCTGGCGAAATAATTGAACTCTCTTACAAAAATGTATAACATTATTTTTTCATTTTAAAAAATAAATCTCACTACAATTTTAAAATAGTTGGAATAAATAGTTTAATCTTTAGTCTTTTCGTGAATGAACAAATTTGTTGGAAAGGTTGGTACAAGTAGCTTTTTTCCACCCCCCCCACACACCCTCCCAAAAGTCTTTAAAAAAATCTAAAATACATACCAGTAATGTTTAATCAATTTGTTTTGATTGCTGTTACACCTACTTCCTGGAATACATCAACAATTTCTAACATACTGATTTGTTGAAATTTTAAAATATAAAATATCTATCAGATCTATGTAACAGATAACACCTTTAATTCTCTTGAATTTTTTTAGGAGGTACAATTTGTTTAGGACATTTGGATAAATGCTTGATGGAAACAATTAGGTAATATTTATGTTAGGACACTTTCATTTTTGTCTTTAATGGAGTTAAAGGAAAATTTATCTTCCATTAATATAAACATAAAAGTACAAAGCTGAATTGTTTCTCCCCACAGGTCGTTGATGCCAGATGCATCATGACACCCCGAGGGATGTATACAGCTTTGTGCGATCACATCAAATATGCGACAAACAAAGGGAATATTAGGTATTTGACCAAATTTATGGTACATTGTAACTGCTACAATGTTCACATTTGTTCACATTAGGAATAAGTAACTGGTAAAAAAATGTATATTATTTGCATTTTGGGGTTTAACTAAATTTATATATTTAAGAATTTAGTTTGTTTTTTAAAAATGGAAATATAAATCGCAGTCCAACACTTCTTATAAATATAAATGACTATACCTAACAACTCACAACATTATCATGTCTTATCACCTGGATGGACTTAAAGTGAAATCGTATTACAGAAACATCTTGTGTAAATTTGTAATGGTTCTAGATAACATCTTTTATTTAAGTAGCAAAGACAAAACTCCTAAAACATGTCCCAAATTACTGATGTAAGGATTATTTCCCTTTTAAATCTCCAATGTTTTTTTAAATCCACTGTCAACATATTCTGTTTGAAACGTCACTATGTCACCATTGTCCTGTGAATGCTGTTGTCTTCTTTAAGGTCTGCCATCACCATATTTCCACAACGAATAGAAGGGCCCCCTGATTTCCGTGTATGGAATAGTCAGTTGATAGGCTACGCTGGCTACAGTATGGATGATGGGAAGATTATTGGGGACCCAGCCAATGTGGAATTTACTGATGTAAGACTCAAAAAAATTGTTGCCCTATGTTAATGTAATGACAGGACATACATTGGTAACACATTTCAAGACATTTATTGTTAACACATGTCAAGGCATACATTGGTAGCACATGTCAAGGCATACAATGGTAAAACATTTCAAGACATACATTGGTAGTACATTTCAAGACATACATTGGTAGTACATTTCAAGACATACATTGGAAACAAACTTCAAGACATACATTGGTAACACATTTCAAGACATACATTGGTACCACATTTCAAGACAAATATTGGTAACACATGTCAAGACATACATTGGTTACATATTTAAAGACATTTATTGATAACACATGTCATGGCATGCATTGGTAAGACATGTATTGGTAACACATATTTATTGGTAACACATGTAAAGACATAAATTAAAAACAGATTCCAAGACATTTCTTTATAACACAAGTCAAGGCATACATTGGTAAGACACATAATGCATTTCAGACATTCATTGGTAACACATCTCAAGACATACATTGGTAACACATCTCAGGACATACATTGGTAACACATCTCAGGACATTGGTAACACATCTCAAGACATACATTGGTAACACATCTCAGGACATACATTGGTAACACATCTCAGGACATACATTGGTAGCATATCTCAGGACATACATTGGTAGCACATCTCACAACATACATTGGTAGCATATCTCAAGACATACATTGGTAGCATATCTCAAGACATACATTGGTAACATATCTCAAGATATACTTTGGTAGCATATCTCAGCTCATACCGTACATTGGTAACACATCTCAGGACATAAATTGATAACACATTCCAGGACATACATTGGTAACACATCTCATTGGTAACAGGTCTCATTTTGAGACAGTACGCACTGCAGAATGTGGGGCTCACATTTTGTTTTTGAATAGCTTAGCTTTTGTTTCTAAATACAACAGTGCACTTCCCGATCTAAATCTCGAACTTCATCGACATTATTGACATTTTCAAAACATCATTTTTTTTAATTTAAGGACTTTTTTGTTTGTTGTTTTGCGTTGTCTGCTGAAGAGGACATCTAGGCAAAATGCCCATTTAAATGTCCTGTCTTTTCTGATCAAGCCTAAACATATCTTGTTCAATTTTTTTATTGACTTAAAACGGCTTGATCTCAGTCACTCATAATTTATCACTCTGAGTGCACTGTTTAACGATTGGATGTCTTTTATTTTGTGGCCAAGATACAAAACATTTATAGTGTTTTATCTTATGGTGTGTATCTTTGAAAACTCTTAATTCTCTCTTTAAAAAAATATTTAGCAATGTGTAAGGATGGGTTGGAAACCAAAGTATGGTATGTTTGACCTATTTCCACTGGTTCTGTCTGCTGCTGGATTTGATCCTGAAGTTTTCGACCTCCCACCTGAGCTAGTGTTAAAGGTCAAGTTGGTGCATCCCGAGTAAGTTTAATTTCATTCTTGATTCATGAGGCTTAAAATTGATAATTTAGAAGTCAATCTCCTACCAAATTTTTTCTTTCTTTCAAGTAAGTTTTTTTGTAACGGTATCTGTTATCAAAATTAGTTTCTCACTTTTTATATAAAATTTTGAAAACAACTGACGGCTTATGTTTAAACATTTTCCAAATATTTAAGAATCATTTTTTTCTTTAAAGATTTCATATTTTATAAAATTAAAAAGCCTTGTTGGCATAAATATTTGTTAAAAGTAAAATGTCAATATTTGGTGAGAGGACAAGTCCTTAGATTTGGTTTCCACTGTCTACCATCCAGGAATCCCTGGTTTTCTGATATTGGTCTAAAGTGGTACGCCCTACCAGCTGTATCTGGAATGCTGTTGGACTGTGGGAGCCTGGAGTTCCCTTCGTGTCCTTTCAATGGATGGTACATGGGGACAGAGATTGGTTCCAGGGATTTGTGCGATTCTCATAGGTACAACATGCTGGAGGTGAGTTGATGAGAAAAAGCTGGGGTGATGACATGTTGGAGGTAAAATGACATGCTGCAATTAGTCCTAATATCCTGTACAACAGAGTCGCTCATCTTTTAAAAAAAACTTAATTGATGTGTGTGTACGGTGTTAAATTCCATTTTAAAGACTCTTTAACTGGAATTATATTTTAGAATTGTTCATCCTAACTGTAGGCCTACTAGGCAAAGGCTGACTAGCCGTTGGGAAAGTTAGGCATCAGTACTAAATAAGCCAACAAAACTGGCCAGCTGCGTTTTGTATGTTCTGATAATGCCTGGCCTGTGTGCTTAACCAAATGCTACTATTGTGTCTGGCCTGTGTGTTTAACCAAGTACTACTATTGTTTCTGGCCTACTATTTTGTAACAAAAGTATATATTCAAGTTAAGTGACTGGGTCTGATGATTAACTTTTGAATACATGACAAGTCTAAAGATAAGATTACTTTTAAACCTTTTTTTTAAAATTACGTTTAAAACACAAGAAAACTGGGAACAATAATTTTTATACAATACAACGAAAGGTACTGCGAGAATAAAATTTTACATCAGATCATCGACCATCCTTTAATATTATACATTTCTAACAATCACCCCATCCCTTAGTAAGCAACATTTCTAGCTTCACTCCCTCCTGATTAAACAGCAGAAAGCCTTACATTATTTTGTTATAATTATGTGCTAATTATTTTAATTATTGTAACCCAAATTTTTTTTTAAAAATTCTAATTTCGTCAATTTAAAAAGAAGAAAATGAAAAAATATGAATTTAAAAATTGATATGTCATATTATTTCCTACCACCCCAACCCCGTTTAACACTATCAAACAAAATGATGAACTACCCCCCTACCCCCTTCATATTGTAATATTTGCATGGTCCATTACAACTCTTAGTGACAAGAGCAATTCTAATGGAAACCTTTGCAAATGTTGTTAGCTGCTACAAAATCTCTGGTCAAAGGCGCATTACTCACGACTGAGGATGAAACTCTGAATCACTTATTGGCATACTATTCCCCCATAGAGGCTGAAAGATTTGAAAATACACATTTTCTGCCAGAGATATCATTACAATAGACTCTGTTTTGGTTCAATCAAGCTGGCTTAATTTAGAAAACTATATCAAAGTATACCTCCTATGAACTGAATTTTCAAAAATAATTTATGTCAATATATTATATAAATAAAATTAATAACTTTTACAATCACATCACAAATAGTCTTTTGGTCACTTAGAAAAGGAAGTGTGGAATAAAATGTATACTTTTTAAACCTAGACCATTGCCTTAAAGATGGGGCTAAACACCAGAAATGCTTCATCCTTGTGGAAAGATCGTGCACTATTGGAGTCTAATCGTGCTGTTCTCCACAGTTTTCAGGTAGGTCTTTATAATACAATTTAACTGTCTATATAATACAAAATTTTACAGTCTTTACAATACAATTTTACTGTCTATATAATACACAATTTTACAGTCTTTATAATACAATTTTACTGTCTATATAATACACAATTTTACAGTCTTTATAATACAATCTTGCTGTCTATATAATACACAATTTTACAGTCTTTATTATACAATTTTACAGATGTTCTTTTAAATGGTTGAAATTTTTTTTGATTTAACAACTCTTGAGTGTGCTGATATTCTTTCTAAACATTCAAAATGTCGAGTAATGTAAAAAAAAAATGTATTTAATCTTACTGAATGACAAATAAGGTATGTGTAAGACATGTATAAGATAGTATTATAAGACAAGTGTATAATACTTTTAAAATCAATGAAAAATGCAATGAGAAAATTTGAACTTGTCAATTAATGTTTAGCCTGCATCTCTGTGGCTTCAATATGGGGAGTCAATGTCTTACTTTCTTTCTATTCTTATTAGTCAGCCAATGTTACAATTGTCAATCATCACGATGCCAGTGAGTCTTTTATATTGCACTTGGATACTGAGCAACATTTAAGAGGTGGCTGCCCAGGTGATTGGGTGTGGATGGTGCCACCCATAAGTAGTTCAGTAGTTCAGCACTGGACATTTTTCACCAAGAACTTTTCTTTATAAGCTCAAGCCCTCCTTTGAATATCAGGTTTGTTTTGATTTACCATCTACAAAATTTTTAAAAAATTCTATTCAGATAACTTTGATTTAGCTCTACCTAATTTTGGATGTACAGATAAGATAAATGCATTGATAAATACCTTTTTGTCTTTTAAATTTTAAAACGTTAAATATAAAATATTCTTTACTTGCAATTTTTGGGCCTGTAGCTGGGTTCTTTCACTCAAAATGAAGGGCTCTACTTTCTTCCCATGAATTTCGGATAATACTGAAGTAAAAATTGATTGAGCTATATGGAAAACACATTTTATTGATGTAAATAAATATTTTGTATTTCTCAATTGATATGAGACAAATATTGAAAACAAATTTTAAAAATGATTTATTTGAGTAACTTTGCAATTAACAATGTTTTAAGCAATTTTCCCAATTTTAATGAGGACACAAAATTAACATCTTTACACCATTTCGACAATATGCTATAAGCCAATTTTAAGCTTAATACCATGGCTTAAATCTTGTTCTTTGCCATTGTCCACAAGCACAATCCTAACTTTGTCAAGTGACCAGCTATGATCACCCATGTTTCGGGGTCCTGTTGCCTCCTTTATATCAACATTTTCGAGGCAGAAAGCATCACATGCAGCCTATGGCAAAAAATTGAAAATTTTTTTAAATAAAGGTTATAATAGAGAAATTCTTACAGTTCTAAATAGTTGAGTTAAAATTTAAATGTACAAATGAAAGATTACTTACAAAGTATTGAACAAGGTAAATGACATTGTCAAGTTCATGAAATTAGCATAAAGTGTGGGTGTTTAATTGTGGGTCTTGTGAGTGAATGTGAACTATCCAGTCACAATGTTGGACAATGTTGAGTGATCGAGGTGTGCAATCGATTGTTGACGAGGGTCGAGAGGGATATATATATAGAGGATCTGGGTGATAGCTACGTAGAGTCTTGAGTTCACATGAGTCACAGTCTTACGTTCACCGAGTATTATGTCACTGAGATCCAGGCAACTTGGATCTTTGAGTTGCAGAGTGAGATAGATGTGTAGTGATATGTTTTGTTGATTGGAATATTGCCCATAAATTTGGATACATGTTGCAATTTAACTGTGAAACGGATTGCTGTTGTAATACTGCCATAAATAAATGACAAATGTACCTTGAAGCTTATTGTTGATTGAATTAAACTAGCCTGTTGTGTGGCAAGTATTTCACGCCAACTCAACAGTTGCGATAATCATACACCCTTGACAACGCCCAAATATTCACTACCAGAATATTAGACATATTGAAATTCATTTGAAAATTATTGAATATGAAAATTCTGTAAAGATATATGAAAACAAGCATGCACTAACTCTATATACTCCCTCAGACCAGGTCCTAAATCTCTGCTCCTGGCCATATAAAGCATCGCCTGTGCAATATTCAACCAACATTTCTGCTCCCAGTTCTTTGAATATTTTATCTATGTACTTTCCAAAGATAGCAAAGTTGGGGTAAGCATTAGATCCCAGTGAAAAAACTGCAAACCTGTAAAAAAATTGGATTAAAATAAATTCTACCATTTAAATTAGTCTTGTTTAATGACTGTTATGTCTCCATTTAACATCTGGCAAAAGTCTTCATGTCTCCATTTAACATCTGGCAAAAGTCTCAGTCTCAATGTCTGCTTGTTTTTCTTTTATATAAAGCTTATCACATGTTAATCTTTCAAAATCAGCTTGGTTGCAGTGGGCCAACATAAATTATATAATGACCCCTTTTTTCCACCAAACTAGTTAAAATTTTAAATCTTGACAATGTTAGTATAATTTATGTGTATAACCTGATATTGCCAAGTGGTCCTGTTGCCATTGCCAGTGAGTTTCTTGGCTTGTTTACATTAGTAGCTAATGAAATTTTCTGTTCAGGGAAAATGCTCCTCTTAATGCATGTTGCCAGGGACAGACCTGAATCTGTTACCCTTCTATAGCAAACAAACAATTTTAATTTTGTTTAAGTTATTTTCATTACCATTTCCATAAATAATTAGTTAAAAGTATTTTTTGATATTTGCAACATATACTCGGTATTTAATTTTGTTAACATCCAGAATCAAAGTGTTTCGATTAAAAAGTAAAACAAATATAATTACCACGCTATACAATACCATTGCCTAGTTCTACTCACCCATTTACCAGGTTGTTTTTTCTTTTTAAGTGCAAAAAACTAGCAGCAAAACTCTTAAAGACAAAAATTTGATTATGACCCAATATTTGATATTTAAAAAAAAATTATAATGTAAACTTTTTAAAACATTTCTATAAAATGTATTCTAAAAAGCAGTTAACATTTTAAATATAGTTTTCAATATTTACAAGTAAAGAATTAATAATAATAATAATAAGACGTCTTATATAGCGCGGTACCCCAGCCTAGGGCTGGGCTCACCGCGCTGTACATAAAATTTTTTTCAAAAGAGACGTAATTATGACATTAAAATAAAATATATTTATGAAAAAAAGAACAGCTATGTATATTCAATGTATAAAGAATACCCAAATCTCAGTGTTTTGATTACTTTTATGATTCCTGTAAATAAACTTTACACTTAAATTAATCTTTAATGTTAAAAATCTAAATTTTTTGTTTACATGGTAGTCTCAAAGGATGAGCACCTACAACAAAAAAGGGTTTATGTTTTATATTTACTTTTCCATTTTCTGGTGGTTCACCATTGCCAAATTTACTGGTAATAACCAAAACCAAGGACTCATGCACCAGTGATCCTGCATGATAATTCTCCATGCATACCACCTGAGTAAAAAAAAATAATGATGAAAATGTGTAAAAAATGTTGCGTTTTGTTTTAAAAAAAATGTATTTAGTCTTAAAGTCCAAATCTATAATTCATTATTCTATTACCCATTATTACTCCTTAATTCATGACTTATTTAGCTGACAATTTCCACGACTCACAAAGGAATTTATTACCTGAGGAATGACTATAGATAATCAAAATGTATACATTGCTTACAAAGTGGGTGCAAAACAAAAACAAAAAATAAAAACCAGCAGAAAGTATGATTGTTAAAGCTTTACAACAGAAGTTCCAAATGTCTACAGAAATTTAGGTGCAGTTTAGAACCTGGCAACTGTTGACATCCTATAAAAGTTATATTAGCATCTCATTTTAACCTGGAAATATTTCATTGTCGTGTCCAAATTCCACTACTGTATTTACCGGCATATAAGATGACAGGGCATATAAGACAACCCCCTACTTTTCCTTTTAAAATGTAGGGTTTGAGCAATACTCGCCATACAAGACTACTCGCCATACAAGACTACCACTCTTCCATCGAAACACCACGTACAAATTTAAAAATTCAAACGCTTATGACATGCATTCAACTTGCCGGAAAACTGTCTGTCAATTATGACATGCATTTAACTTGCCGGAAAACTGTCTCTGTCAAACAAACATCAAACAGTGAAAGTCGATTAAACTTTTCTTAATTCACTCTAAAGCTTAAAGACAATACACCCATGGTGTCTGCCATGATGTTTTTTTTCTAAGCTGTTCTTCGAACTGGAACTGATGATAGGAGGAAGATAACAATAGAGAGAGCAAGTGCAGTCAATTCTCTGAAGAGTCAGCAATGCCCATGATAATTACAAGCTATTTTGACAGGTTTAGCTGGCGTGACAGTTTCGCTTTCAAAGCCTTCAAAATCCTCCTGTTCATGATCTAAGTACATCGACATCTTGCCTTACATGAGTAAGGCAGTCATCGCATGTATCTAATGGATCCTCCTTTTGTGAATGAATTTGCTTCTAGCTATCCACTCATTCCAGTGTTCTCTACCCATCCACTCATTCCGCTTTTCTCACATGTGATCTTTAAATGGATTGTTTAGATACACATCCAGTGGCTGTACCAATGATGTCAATCCTGCAGGAATAACTGCCACATCTGTGTTTATTCTTGTCAACCATTGCTGGGTGCTGGGAGTTAAATGAGCCCTGAACATATCCCACAACAGTTAACTACGTTTTTAAATAAGTCCACCTGATCACCCACTCCATACTTTATCGAGCCATAGCTTTGCCTCTTCATCCATCCAGTCTTTTTCATTCACTCTGTTAGCTGTATCCTACCAGCTTATAAGACCACCCTCGGAGTATAATATGACACCCGATATTTGAAAAAGATTTTCGTGGATTAAAATGTGGTCTTAATGCCAGAAATAAGTTTTCCAATAATGGTAATTCTATTTATCAGCATTTGTAAGGTAGACACAAAGAATTACATTTTATACTGAAAAAGATTCTTATTCATTGTATGTACCGTAATAATTAGGTTATCTTTTAAAAAATAATTACGCACATTTAATTTCCTGTTAACAATATCATGAAGTTCATGAAGAAAACAGAATGCAACTAAAGCATATATCATATTGAAATCAATTGTTTCTAACAATATATTGGCAGATGTTTAGTAAATATTTTATTTATTACCTTAGAAGCAAAGAATTGTTTGAAAATGTCAGTCTTTTAGCAAATCTCTCTGATCAGTGATCTTCCTGTCTCCGAGGCATAAAGGATGGTACACTGAACTCTGCTTGCCAAAGCCTTTGACATTAACAATCCTGAGACCTCTACAGCTCTGTAATACAGCAAAACTATCAGTAGTTCTAAGGTCAAAATTAATTGAAAAACACTATGGCATCTAAATGTTAAGACTTATTTTTAAGGCCGGCACTACGTACACCGCGGCGGTGTACCTAGCGAAACTATTGACTTTGGCCTGCGTACACCGCGGCGGTGTACCTAGCTAAATCATGGTCTGTGGCCTGCGTACACCGCGGCGATTTTAAGTAGCAAAACTATGGTCTTTTGGGAGTCTTTAACTTTTTGGCCTAACCGGTACTTGTAGATTTAATGTTATACTCGTGTTAAAACTGAAAACCATTTATTTAAAAATCGTTTAGTACTATGGGAGGAGGATATTGATTAAGTTCCACGCTTATGTGGCAAAGTACTTGTAGAGCATTTCTTCTTATTTTTTTTGGAAGGTGTAATGTTAAACCATGATTTATTTTTGAAGGTAACCACTTTATTCTCCCCCCCCCCCTTTCCCTCCCCAATATATTGAAATACAAATATATTTATTTATTGTAAGTTTTATCATATGATTGTGAATCTTAATAGGCATAAAAAGGGTATATATATAATTTAATACAATATTTAAAAATATGTTTAAATTGTTTAATTTGCTACAAAATATTTTAAAACTAAAATAGGAGGAACAAAAACTCAATCCCCTACTGGGAATTGATCTCGAAATATATTAACGCCAAGCGTCCACTCTACCACTTGACCACACAAGATCTGCAACTACAAGTATATCTTAAAAGAAGACCAATGGTACATTTTTGCCGCGGTGTACCCAGGCCAAAGCCCACGATTTCGCTAGATACACCGCCGCGGTATACGCAGGCCAAAGCCGATGGTTTCGCTAGGTACACCGCCGCGGTGTACGCATCCACTTCGTATTTTTAATAGATGGTAAAATTAATATATCTTTAGCTTTGCTAGTCATCAGACTATTTTAGTCCACCTGAACAAAAAAAAAAAATGCCTCTGACCTAAGCCTAAAGTATGCCCCTGGAGATCATGTTGGTATTTTCCCTGCCAACTCTCCAGACATTGTGGAAGCCATTCTTGTTAGGTTGGACACAACAAAAAGACCATCTCCAGACCAAGTTATAAGTACAGAGATCTTCACACAACTTGGTAAGTGGATATTTATCCCCACTTTGTGAAGCTAGTCTGCATTCATTATCATATGCAGCTGTAACATCAAATCTGTTATGTATTTAAAATCAATTTTTGTGTTTAAATGGAAAAATTACATCAGGGAAGGTACACCAATTTCCAATTTTTTAAAATATAGTCAAACATAAATTAGTTAACCTCTACTCATTTTGTAATTCATTTTCATAGCACTGTATTCCTATAAATATTTTCGTTTTCACATAATATTCTCATAATTATTTTCAATCTGTCCAATTTTAAAACAAATACAAGCCCTAATAATTATGTCTTGTGTCTGTGCTATTATTTTGAACTTCACTGAAGGAACCAAATAAGCATGGAGAAGACATGAGAAGTTGCCTATGTGTTCTTTGCGGTCAGCATTCACATATTTTTTAGATGTTACCACACCTCCCTCACAAGAACTACCGCATATGTTGGCCACTCAGGCCTCAAGTGACATGGACAAAAAGAGACTTGGGCTACTAGCAACGGTAAGGATAAAAAAACAAAACAAATTTACTACTGGTTAAATATTGGAGGGGGGGGGGGTTGTAAATTTCCTTCCTTTTTTAATAAATTTTTTTTTTTTACCCTACCCCCCCCCCCCCTGTCAACAGTAAACTTTCAAGCCACCCACTAAGAAACTATTTAATTTTTAACATTTACCCACACCCCACTTGTTTTCCAAAAACGCACACACAAAAATGAAAAACATTCCAAATTATTTGTAGGCCTAACTAAATCCTTACTACAAAGCTTTAAAAGATTAAAATCCTACACATTTCAAATTGCATCACTTGGCATTTCCGCACTTGGCTCATTTACCCAGGAGGTCAACTGTTTCTTACTATTACTTATCAACGGTCAAGTTTACGTTTTCTATTCATTATATTAATCTAACACAACTAATGGACCTGGGTAATTGCTAACTACACACCATTTATGGTACTTTATTGCACATATTGCCTTGAGTATCTGTGACAGAATTGACCGGTAAATAAAGCCTACCTTTTGACCTCAATTGAATTTAAATTTGTGACCAGCCATTAGCAGGACACAAACATAAGTTACTTTACATTTAATCTTGTATGTTTCATTATGAGACAATTATCAAAAGCCTTACATTACCTGTAAATTACAGCAAATGATTTTCAAATATTATCACAGGAAAATATAATTGTTGATATGAATTAAACATGATCCCCCCTCTCCCTTCTTTGAGAATAGTCAGATTTTTCCTAGATCACCTCCATCCAACAATTTTTTGACACAATAATTAATAAGTGCCTGGTTGCTGGTAAAACATTAAAAAATACAAAACAATTTTCCTTCAGGAAATGAGATAGATCATGTTTATTTATTTTTCAAATAGATTTTGACTCGTGCTTGAAGGCATACAAATATATTTTGTCATCTTTAACTTTGTATAGCTCGCGATCTAGTATAGGCCTACTTCTATAAAGGATACTGTAAAATAATTATTTTAGACAGTTTAAAAAAATCTTTTAATTTCTTCCTTACGATTCAGTGGCTTATGAAAAATGGCAGAAAGACCTGAGCCCCAATATCCTAGAGGTTTTGGATGAGTTTCCTTCCCTCAAAGTTTCCCCTTCACTTCTGCTGACCCAGCTGCCATTGCTGCAACCACGTTACTATAGCATCAGTTTCTCCTCACAGCAGTACCCTATACAGGTTCATGCAACCATTGCTGTAAAGTTTAGAACCCAAGGTAAAATTAAATGTCTCATAAAATCTTCTCCTATTACCAAGCAAAACTTTGAAATGAAATGACCATGTTTAAGATTATTTATAAATAATTCTTGCATATCTTTTGTAATATTAAAACAAAATATATTTTTATAGATGTCACACTGTTTGCAAACTTTGTGGTTCCCAAAATATGTACCATGTCACCATGGGTTCAGTGTTGCCCTTTGGTAGAGCCATAAAAAAGGGACAACTGTTTTTATAGTAAAAATGTAACTTATATCTCAAAGTGTATTTGTTAGAATTTGATATAGTGCGGATGTTAGCAACCTAAATTTGGAAAAGGAGATAAAAATTGAAATTCTGGGAACCACTGTCTTAGCAGAACCAAATTAACTAAATACCTTACACACGATAGGACCATCCAATAATTGATTCTCTAATTTGGCATATATTTCCCCTGCCAAATCCCCCTCCCCCTCCCCCCATTCAAAATTTGTGACACAAATTACAGGCATCCCACTTAAATAATATTCCATCACAAGTTCGTTGACACCCACCCTCCCTCACACACACACTTTTCCTCTCAACGAGTGATGTTTATGATGGCTTATATAGTTGACTTAACATTACTAGTAGTTTCTACCGTTCTAATATTGTGTTATCTAGCGTGTTACTGTTCCTACCAGAAGCAAATCAAGGTCTATAGTGCAGCAGTCCTCCTGACACTGCTCTACGGATGTGAAACGTGGGCAGTCTACCATCGTCATGCCAAGAAACTGAATCATTTTCACACTACCTGCCTCAGGAAACTCCTTGGCATCAGGTGGCAGGACAAAGTCCCCAACACCGACGTCCTCGCTAGAGCGAAACTACCTAGTATCTTCACCACTCTGATGCAGTCTCAGCTCGGTTTGATGGGACACGTAGCCCGAATGGAAGACCGCCGGCTCCCGAAACAGACATTCTTCGGAGAACTCACAATAGGCAAGCGCTCCCAAGGAGGTAAAAAAAAAAAAAAAGCGTTACAAAGACTCATTGAAAGCGGCACTAAAGGCCTTCAGCATAAACCCAGGAAAACACACAAGAGGCAACCGCTCCCAAGGAGGTAAAAAAAAAAAAAAAAAGCGTTACAAAGACTCATTGAAAGCGGCACTAAAGGCCTTCAGCATAAACCCTACTTAATGGGTGCAGACAGCCCTGGGCAGAGCCAGGTGGAGACATGCTGTCTCATGAAACCAGTAGGATAACCACAGCTGAGACATGCAGGCTTGTCTGAAAGAGCAACATTAGGTCACCGTCTGAAGCAACTATCCCATGCCCACGGTGTCATAGATTATTCCGAGCAAGGATCTGTCTAGCAGGCCCCCCTACGAGCTCACAGCAACCCAACCTCCCCCTAACCGGATGACTCAATGGTCCTAGTGGACTTGGGACGAACAACCTTTGCAACCATACTAATAGTGTGATATCTAGTCTACCATTGCTACCATACTATTAGGGTGATAATCTACTCTAGTGTTACTGTTGCTACCATACAACATTATAGGTATATAAAATTAATATCCCCTTACCGAGGGATTTAACACTAATCTAGTCTGTTCCTTGTAAAAACACAAAGCAACAGTATGACAATTAGACAATTATTCAATGATAATTTTACATTATTAGAGATAGATATATGGCTTTCAGAATTTTAGGATAATTGTGTCAGAAGTATTTATTGTGTGAATAAATGTATTTACTTTCTGCCGAGACCCAATTCCCCCAAAATCCATAAGCATGCGTATTCAAAATCTTTAAAATCAACAAGCCCCGCCCCCTCTCCCCATTCTCAGTGCATAAGTACTATAGGGATGGCCCGTATGATTTATTTAGTTTCAAAGAGTTGCGAAAATTTTCATTATGTACTTAAATGAAGTAATGTTGTTGTTTTTTTTTTTATTACATTTGATTTATTATTTCATCACAAAATAGGATGAAAACAGATTTCATGAGGACATATTTGGGGCTTTTATAAGAGACCCAAGAGAAACAAGATCTGAAGATCAGCCAAAGATAAATCTGGATGCAACTTCCTTGGCTGCAAAACCAAATTCCTTACTGGAATGAGCTGTCCTAATTGATACCCATGCATTGAATTGTTTAGAAGTCATAAAATGGCTAAAAACATGATAGTTTTGCATACATCTGAAAGGAATACGTCATGTTAAATAAATTGTGGATGCGACAATAAGATGCATATTCTTTCTTCTAATAACCTTTTTTGATATATTTAATTACTTTCTTTAACTTTAAGTGAATTGTTCAACATTGTTTAACAATGAAATTAACAAGAATGTACTTAACTATGCTATTTACTGAAAAGGAGTTTCAGAATTATTTTTCAATCATATCATTTTAATTTTAAAAAATATCTAAACGTAGCACCAAAATGAATATAAATGCTTACTTTCTTAAAATAAAAACATTTGAAAAATCAAAATATCACCCCAAAATATAAAAGGAATTTTTAAATTATTAAATTGAAATAAAAATCCAAATTATATAAAATATAGTGGATGCTGGAAATTAAATTCTTTTGAAAATAAAATTAATATTAACATATTTTTGCGTGGTACCTTGACTATTTGTTAGATATGATTAATTTCATAAAATTTGTGTAAGCTCTATTGTGTAAAATCTTGTTGGCAATAAGACCTTTCTTATTTAAATGAGAAATGTGCATAAATGATCGATTTTTGCTGTATGTATAAATACTTTTTCTCTACTTCTTTCATCAATAATATTATACTAATTAATACTATTGTTTAAATATATAGTAGTTTAAACATTTTATGCTTTTGATATTGTCTAACAGATCCAATAAATCATTTTCAGTTAACATAGTATTGATATTTTGCCTTCCTAATCATTGGAGAGGAGGGGGGGGGGGTAATTTTGGGGATAGCAAATATATATTGGGGTAATAGATAATTTTTTTTGTGTGTGCATATTATCAAGGTCAGAAGAAAGAAATCGACTTTGTCTCTTATTTATTTTCAGTAAACTATTTATATGGAAAATTGACTTGCTTTGAATATAAAGATTTATATTTGCAAATCTTCTCCACCTGATCTTTAAGCAGTTGCACATAGATTTTATTACTGAATAGGCTAATATGAAACCTTTTTCTGATCATATGTACATTTTTGTTGCCAAACTTGTAGATGAAGAAAAGTTGTATGAAAACTAGTGTGGATAACTTGTTCTAGTTAACAAATTGAAGAGAACCTGCCTGAAATTCAATCTGCATGAAATTGGTATGGAGAGAGCCGAAACAATTCACTGGCAGTTTTTTAGTCTTGTTAATATCATTATTAAAAGAGAAAGGGGAAAGTGGCCGTACTCTGATCTGACTTGAATCAGGAGACATGTTCCACCATCAGATTTTGTTAGTTCTTCAACAACCACAGCCCTCGTTTGATAAATCGTGCAAATTCAACAGCTCGGTAAACCCTTAGTAACCCAAAAGAACCGTTTATGCACGCCCCTTTACTATGAGATAAATCTTAGCTTAAGTACACTCCCCCATCCCCACGACACCACGTTATGAGCTATAATTTCTAGAAATAATGCAGCATGGGCACCAAATCACGTCATCGAAAAACTATTAAAAGTTTAAAAACTTAGCTGCTAGGTTATTTTTAAAGGCAAAGTAAAGGAATCACGTCACCCAACAACTTCACTAACTTCACTGGCTCTTTTTAAAGGCACACATTGATTACATGCTGTCTGTTCTCTGTCACAACTTTTTCTCTGGTTCCTGCCCTTACTATTTTACTGAACTTCTTTCGGTCTATTCACCCCTTCGAAAGCTTCGTTCCTCCGCAAACACGCGTATTATTTCTGTTCCCACAACACGCACTAAAACATATGGTGAACGATCTTTCTCTTTCTGTGACCCAAAAAAATGGATTTAGCTCCTATTATACACCCGCAATATAATGACCATCACAGCCTTCAAGACTGCCCTCAAGACCCATCGCTTCAAACTGTACGATACCGACTCATTCTCACGCCCATCTAACTGATAAACAACGCTGGGTGCTGTCCATGGCTAGACAGGAGTTAGATAGTCAGTTCTTGGGTGGGTGAGGTCAAGCTTTACAGCAATTATTTTTAAATGTATAATCTTCTGCAAATGCTAATTTTTTTGTGAAGCCCGGTGAGCCTAGCCCTAGGCTGGGGTACTGCAGTATATAAAACTATCTAATAATAATACGAATATGATTTTTCCGTAAAGCTAAAGATATGGTCCCATTAAATATCGAGGCTTTAGAGTAAAAAAAAATATCTTATAATATAACTCCCGAGTGGATGTTGTCCTTCCCGATTACACACGGTAATGCGCCCTCATTCGCTGCTTCCCTTTCGTACGGGCCAAATTATAGAATGAGTACAACTAAGCATTGCTGGATAAATAGAGTGCCTTCTGGAATTAATATTATAGATTACGCACATCTTCCTGTATTTTGGAGACCAGTTTAGATAACACCTGTATAACATCAATAAATAAGCCCTTTGTCCAGTTTCTAAGCATTTCAATAATGCTAACCATGATGGAATCTTAGACATCGCAGTTCCTGGTATATTTTATGCAAGAAAAAAACCGGGTAAAATTTATACGGGAAATAAATTAATAACAAGATTTGGTACGTTGTCTCCATACAGTATAAACAAAATACACAATTTTACACAGCTGCCATGCCTTTGTCATGTTTAGTTTTTGAATTTTACGTCCACCCAATCCCTTTCTGTTTACATAAATATTAAATATGAATTTTTTTGGGGTACTAATGAAGGCATTTGCCGAAAGTCTATATGTGTATTCCGTACGACCATTATTAAAGCGGAACCTCTATTGTTTTATTGACACAAATTGTTAGTGTTTCATTCATCTATTTTACACGAGCGACGTGATTGGGTTGCCCCCCCCCCCCAGCTAGTTTCATCTATTTTTTTTTGTAAACCCACATTTCTGTGCGTATTTATAATAAATTGTGATAACAAATTCATGCAACAAAAAAAACATATCA